CATAGATTAGCATTACACTGATGAAATCACAAAAGTGTTTAACTTCAAAAGATCCACCAATACGATTTTAATACTATTTAAAGGTTATTCCAAAGGAAAAGATACCAGTTAACATACTATCTCCGATGACGTACGGTATGGGTAATATTTTTTTCATTGAATGATCAACCATATTTGGTAACTAACGCAATTAATATCATTATTGTTTTTACACTTATTAATCTTTAAACAATACTAAATGTCAAAATATGTATAATTTCACTCAATTTATCGCAGTTAGATGAATTAGCGTAAGCCCTGAAAGTAACCGTCGATTTCGACGGGTTTCACCTAGTTAACATATGTTCTTCTTCTCACTTTTAATTTCTGACAACAGCTGGAGTTTCATAACAATGTTTGTTTCCCATGTTAATCTTATGGAGAAATATAAAACTTTAAAGGACCCCAGGGCCTCACTCTCTAATTATTTCCCTTAAAAAAAAGTTTCCTGCACAACTTCACGTTACGCTCTTTCCAATGACACCAAAAACATGTCAATCGGTTTAGTAGTTTCGGAGGAGTAATTGTCACAAAAAACCTGCTTGCGTATTAAATAAGTACTAGTGTCCCTGTTGCTTGAACTCAAGCCATTGCTAAGTATTACAGGCGTTATTTTAAAACCAATAACAGTCATAATTTCTGATGGCTTTAAACGATTTGACTCAAAGATTATGGAAATACTCAAGATGTACATAACAGACTATATCAATTTATCCAGGCTCTCTCGCTTTTTCCATTGTAATATTTACGCCAACCCAAGTTCAAATAGTAAATATTTAATTTGAACCAAGTCAGTAAATGTTTGTAGCAAACTGTTAAATTAGCAAACTTATCTACTGTTTACAATTAACATATGTTCTTCTTGTCCACTTTTAATTTCTGACGACAGCTGGAGTTTCATAACAATTTTTGTTTCCCATGTTAATCTTATGGAGAAATACAAAACTTTAAATGGCTCCAGGGCCTCACTATCTAATTATTTCCATAAAAACAAAGTTTCCTGCATAACTACACGTTACGCTCTTTCCAATGACACCAAAAACATGTCAATCGGTTCAGTAGTTTCAGAGGAGTAATTGTCACAAAAACCCTGCTTGCGTGTTAAATAAGTAATCGAGCAATTGCTTAGTATTAAAGGCGTTATTTTAAAACGAATAACAGTACCGTAATAATTTCTGATGACTTTAAAAGATTTGACTCAAAGATTTTGGAAATACTCATGATGTAGGTACATAACAGATCGATATAATCACAATTTCTTGTAAATATCTGATAATTTTTTTAATAGCTAATCTTGTTTTTTAGTGTTTTCTAAATAGCCTTATAGCCGCATTATGTTGGCCATAATAACATTATAAATTAAAAAAAAAATAAAAAATAAAAAAAAAACATTTCTATTTCTTCTCCTTGGTGGTGTTCTATGACTTTCCTATGTTTCCATAGTTTGCAAATGGGCTCTTTCAATGATTAATAAGAAATGCAGCACACTGTTAATTCAGTTTTCTTTTTAAGATATCAATTTATCCAGGCTCTCTCACTTTTTGTCATTGTAATATATACGCCAACCCAAATTAAAATAGTACTGTACACATTTCATTTCAACTAAGTCAGTAAATGTTTGTAGCAAACTGTTAAATTAGGAAACTTATTGACTGTTTACAATTAACATATGTTCTTCTTCTCACTTTTAATTTCTGACAACAGCTGGAGTTTCATAACAATTTTTGTTTCCCATGTTAATCTTATGGAGAAATACGAAACTTTAAAGGGCTCAGGGCCTCATTCTCTAATTATTTCCCTAAAAAGAAAGTTTCCTGCACAACTTCACGTTACGCTTTTTCCAATGAGACTAAAAACATGTCAAGGGGTTCAGTAGTTTCGGAGGAGTAATTGTCACAAAAATCTTGCTTGCGTATTAAATAAGTATAGATAGATAGATTAGTGTTTGATATAAGTCCTTGAAATAACGGATAACCTCAAATAAATAGTATGGTTAGGTTACAATGAATTGGAATTTGACAGCATCCCACCAATCGATCACACGGCCAACCTAACAACACGAAACACCGAAACAAACCAGCAAAAACAGTGGCACGTTTTTCTTTAATGTTTAACCAGAAAGTAGTGACTCCAGTTATATAATCTATATCTTAATGATTGGGTTCATTTACTGATTTTGTTCAGATTAAATATTTACTATTTTAATTTACTTTTGTACATATAACAATGTAAAAAAATTAGAAAGCCTGGACAATTTGATATATTTTACCAAATAAGATAAATGAATTGACCGAATTGACATAGTAGTGTATTTCTTGGGAAATCATTGAAAGAACCGATTTGTTAAACATGGAAACATAGCAAAGTCATAGAACGCCACCAAGTAGAAGAAATAGAGATAAAAAAAATTTACCATCGTTATCAACCTGTATAATGAAGAACACCTACAGCTATAATACAGTATGAAGATTCCCACAATATGTTTAGGATGATATTTCTGTGGGGTGATGGGATATTATATAACATTGAACAAAATTGGATAAATAATACATTAACAATGAGAAACATATTAAATAACTGATAACCCATTATCAGGGGCATTAACAGACATTATGGGAGAAAATATGCAATATGGAGAAACTAATGTTAATGATGAATGAATGACATGTAATATTACAGATTATAGCATTACACATAGTATAAATAAGTCGACCCTACGTATGTAATTTAATTTTCATCCAAATGCTGAATTTGTGTCGAATACACTGAATGTTTACAGCTGTTAAGTTAAGCGAATTTTATTATAACAAAAGCTAGAGTAGAATGTTAGCGTCAGCTGCTGGAATTTTTAAAATTTTAAACTCAATTTCTAAAATACTGAAACCCTAAACTAAAAATATAGCTTCATCATTCCCTAGTTCTTAAAATTATCTTTCTTCCAACACAAAAATCATGAAAATCCATCAAGTAGTTGATTCAGAATCGTGAAATAAAAAAAAACCTGTCACTTTTTTATATATACGATGATGATGATGATGATGATGATGATGACGACACGGATACCCTAGTTCTTGTAAATCCAACAGACTACCTGGTGGTTTCATATTTACCGAGATTGGTCTGTAATCAATTTACAGTAGGACCCCGGTTAACCGAAATAGAGGGGGAAGAGCCGCTTTAGATAACAATTTTTCGGTTGACCCGTAATATGCTAAAACTAGCCTATGTGTAGGAAAAAAGAATTTAAAACAATGTCTATATTATTCAGTGTTGTATTTCAGCTACAAAAATGTTATAATGGGTTAAAAAACTTTAATTTAAACAACTGAATCATCTCAAGGACATATCAAATGTCTCACGCATGGCTGCGCATCACCGATACGTCACGTAGACATTCTTACCAGAGAGAGGGGCTCAGCGCTACGCCTCGCTGTTTACATGTTACCATGGATTAAAGGAAGTAGACATATTCCTTTTATCTACGATGTCACGTATATTGTACTTATATTTTTGCCCTGTATTAATTTATGGAATCGTTTCGGTTAAACGGGGTTACTGTATTTAGTAAAGCTCTTAGAAAAATTTCTTGCCAAATGAAAAAGACTAAACTGATAATTGTGACAGAGTTATGCATAGTTTATTAATAATATGTACTTAAAATGGTCAAGTTGTCAGCATAGAGTATGTTAAGTGGGCCTACCAGTACAACATGTGTAGTCAAATATGGCAAGTTTGGAAGTACTAGCAGTGATGGTAATATGATGTATCTAGAGGATGAAGAAATATGAAGCTTTGTTTAATGGACTAATTTTGATACATAACCCTGAAGAAATAAACAAATATTACTGCTTATGATTTCAGTAAAAAGAAAAAAAAATAGAGAAAACTAAGGTGTAGTTGATAGTGAATTGAGTCAAACCTACTAGGTACTGCTTGCTGTTAATAATCGATTAATTGTACAGAATTAATATTTAGAGAACAAGAGTCAACATTCAAGTATTTTATGATAAAACTCCAAAGTAAAAAAAAAAAAAAACGGGGAACCGAGAAAGGCTTTTTGCATTGCTGGCTATATGGGGTTTTAGCCTAAATAAATAATGCCACTGATATTAGTGTATAAATTGCATTTAATACAATTTTAAATATACAAAGATTTGTTATCTATTTAATTTATACATAAATTTACTTCCACCAATATCTCAACATCAATATACGAAGAGTAAGTTTTTCGGAGGAAAAGGGACTTGGCATAGAAAATACCCAGATATCACTACACAGAACAAGAACACAACGCAGTTGGTAAAACATGGTAAAACTTACCTAACTTACTAAACTAACTTACCTAAGAAGAAAAGAGTTCCAGGTATGTAGTTAACAGCCTAAAATTCTTTTCTTAGGTAAGTTAGTTGTGTATCTATTCCTTATTCCTTATTGTATAAGAAGAAAAATCATTTTATAATTAATTGGCTCTTTTAAAAGAAAAAATAAGTCTGTACAACCCTGAGAAAAGACATTTAAGGTATATATGTATGCTATACCTTAAAGTAAAGGTGTACTTAGTATCATGGATTTACTAAGTATAGTATGTTTTATCTATGGTATAATATATATATATATACCTTTCAACTCTTTACAAAATTCATGAATTCAAATATTTTGGCTGGAAGGCAGACTACTGCATTATGAAATGGACTCTAATAATTAAGAAATCATTATTATATCAAAGATTATTATCAATTGATATAATTGATAATTGAAAAGAAAAAATGTCGATACTTATAAAATAGAGTGTTTATTTCAAATATCTTTCTTGGATTTAGTCACAGAACAATGTGAGGTAATCCCTCTTTAATTGGGTTCAAATGTGATATGTGCATTCTTAATCTGTACCTATTTAAAAATAAACCAGTTATACGAGGAAAAGAGCCAATGACCTTGAACCTGCTCAAGAATTGACCAGTTTGACTACAGCTGTCATCTTCAGGCAGTGTTCAACATGAAGGCTGCTCATCTTGTGGTGATTATCTCAATCTTTGCCTCAACTATTTCACAACGCATAGCAAAACTTAGTAAGTTATTTACATATACATTTAAAGAAACCAATCAATGGATATACAAACCTTTTTATACATGCATTATTCTATTGGAAAATAATGTGATTATACAAGAGTATTTAAAATTACTTGTGTCTAACATAGCTTTATTAGTTTTATTTGAAGTTTTTATAAAAACTAATATTTTATCATTGATATAAATTATAATATTTGAGATTTTATGGGCTGCAGTAATTATTGAGCAATAAACTAAAATGTGATACAGCAAAAAAAAAGTATTTTTAGAGAAGTAATATTTTTGAAGAAGTAGGCCTGTTTGACAAAATAGGGCATTATCTAACTGATCCATCTGTACTGTAGTACTGTAGTAGAGTAGATAGATGATATGTACATGACACACAAGGTTGTATACTTCATGGTGATGATAAATCATTAGACGATAGGATGTTACTGTGAGATCAGCTGATTATAGCAGAATCATCCATATATAAATCCCAAAGTACCCATGAACTTTTGAGAAAACTACAAGTCACACCCCCATAAACCATATACTTAAAATGTTCGTCATGACTATCCATTTATGTCATAAATTGCCCTTTAATGTCGTGATTCCTTACTAAAGGGACCTTTCCATATACGGTACCTAATGTTAAAAATACCTCAGCTGTAATGTACTTATTTGTATGTTATTTTTTCAATTTATTACTTTATTAAAATCAGGTGTGATTATTCGTTTGTATTACTGTATTCTGTTTTTTTTTCAGCTTAACTTAACCAATTTTTTTTTTTTTTATCACAATTTTATTTACAATCTGTTCATTTTTAGAACATTTAGCAAATACAATAACAAATTTTAATAAAACGTTAGTTAATCTCTGTCCATTGACAGAGCTAACTTAAAAATATTTCAATGAAAACATAAATATGTAAATAAACAAGGGAAAATTAAATTGTTCAAACAAAACGTGTGCTTAGATCCAAAACATGAATCCTTTTTAGCCTGTATATACTGGTGCTGTTGTCCAAGAGGTTTAGAGCCAGGTGATTAGGGTGATTTTCAAGTTTCTTTAGATATTTTGCACTAAATTTGGTTATTTCCTCTTCAACCGTAGGAATTCCACTGTCCTTGTGAAGGATATTGTTATTAACATACCATGGGGCTTGCAGAATGAACCTTAAAACTTTTGACTGAAATCGTTGGATAATGTTTATGTTCGACATACTGGACGTTCCCCACAGTTGGATTCCATAAGTCCAAATTGGCTTCAGTATTACTTTGTATAGTAATAATTTATTTGCAATGGTCAATTTTGATTTACTATTTAGGAGCCAGGAAAGATTTTTAAATTTTAAATTTAGGTACATTCTTTTATTCCAGATATGGGTTTTCCAGGTTAATCTTTTGTCAATCGTCATGCCGAGATATTTCACATCGTGGGATTGCGGAATTTGGACATTATTTAAGGTTACAGGAGGACAAGTACCCAATCTGGTAGTGAAGGTCACATGAGTAGATTTGCTCTCATTCACTTTTATTTTCCATGTTTGCAACCATTCTTCTAAGTCATCTAGGGAATTTTGAAGATTAAGTGAAGCTACCACTGGATCAGGATGGGACGCTAAAATAGCTGTATCGTCAGCAAAAGTGGCCACAGAAGTATTCACATTTTCAGGTAGATCGGCTGTAAACAGAGTATATAGTACAGGTCCGAGAACACTTCCTTGGGGAACGCCAGCTTGAATTGGGTACAATTTTGTAATGCTATCTCCAAATTTAACTCTGAAATATCTGTCGGTTAGGTATGATTTAATTGTCATATAAAATGTATGAGGAAGATTCAGTTTGAGTTTATAAAGTAGGCCTGTGTGCCAAACTTTGTCAAAGGCTTGACTTACATCGATAAAGACAGCTGTAGGCCTACAATAGTTCTTTTTCTCAAGGTCTTCTTTAATTGTATTAACCAATCTATGTACTTGTTCAACTGTGGAATGCTCCCGTCGAAACCCAAACTGATGATTTGGAATCAAGTTTCTGTCCTCTACTTCTTCAAGTAGACGATTCAAGAAGAGCCTCTCAAACAATTTGGATGTTATTGGAAGTAGACTGATAGGTCGATATGAACTTGCTTGTTGGGGTGGTTTTCCTGGCTTTGCTATCATGATTATTTCTGAAACTTTCCATTGTGACGGGAAATACTCAGTCCGTATAATTGAATTAAAAATGAGTGTCAGGTATATGAATGCTTTTCTAGGAAGCTCTTTCATTACTTTCCCCGTGATTAAGTCGTATCCAGGGGCTTTAAACAGTTTTAATTTGTTTACAAGTTTACAGACTTCTGAGGGAGTAAAGGGCTTTATTGGAGGTGATAACTGATTTGGTGAGTCAATGAACTCAAGAATTTCGTCAAGATTATTAAAATTATTATTTTGATTTTGATTGGGAGTAAACACTGCGGCCAAGTGGTTTGCAAACACTTCGGATTTTTCAATATCGTTTCTTGCCCAAGTTCCATCGGACTTAGAGATAGGCGGTATCAGGATATTTGGACGGTTCATCCCTCTAGTAGCTTTCCATAAAGAGTAGTTTGTTGTTTTATCAGGTGACAAATTACCTGTATATTCAGAAAACCATTCATTTTTTAAATTTTTCAGATCCCTCTTAAGTTCTTGAGTTGCTCTGTTAAATTTAGTTTTGTCTCTCGGATTTCTAGTCTGTTGCTAAATTCTTCTTAATCTTCTCTTCTCAGCAACTTTCCGTTTTACATGTAATGGACAGTTGTAGGAAGTTAAATGGGTTCCTGTGTTTTGTATATTAGGAGTCGCTTGCCAGCAAGATTGTTGAATTACATTGTTAAAATTTTCTACAGCGTCATCAATGTCATCTGGAGTTTTAAGAGGTATTTTTAGAGAAAGCTCTTCATTTACTCTGTCTCGAAATATGTCCCAGTCAGTAGATTTATTAAACAGCTTAAGAGGCTGTTCTTTACACACAACAGTCGAACTTAAGGTGACAATAATTGGCGAATGGTCTGACGACAAATCTAGGCTTGCTTTCACATCAATATAGTTTTGACCAATTCCTTTTGTAATAAAGAAATCTAACAAATCAGGAATTTTTTGAGGATCTGTGGGCCAATATGTTGGTTCAGCTGTTGATATAAACTGAAAATTGTTATTGGTGACTGATGTCAATAGTTGTCGACCTCTTGGGTTAGCTAGTCTTGAGCCCCACATGGGATGTTTTGCGTTGTAGTCTCCACCTGCTAAGAACCTGGGGCCAAGTGTATTAAAAAAGTCTGTAAAATTTTGGGAAGTGACGTTATGACGAGGTGGGCTATATATTGCGGATATAGTGAGCGGTCCAGACCTATTTTCTATTACTATACTGGTAGCTTGAAGATGGTTGTGTTGATATTTGGGCAATTCATAATGTGATATGAAGTTTTTAATCAAGATAGCACTGCCACCATGAGCAACGTTGCCTGGGTGGTTTGAGTGGTAAAGTGAGAAATTTGGAATTTTAAAGTAACTAAGATCAGTAAAGTGGGTTTCAGATATAAGCATGACATCAATTCTGTTTTGTATAATAAAAGCTTTAAGTTCTTGGTGATGTTTGACCAAGCCATTGGCATTCCAGAGACCAAATCGTATGAACTGATTCATTTTAACTTAGACACGACAGTGGTCAATAAGTTCAATAGCGAACCTATTTGTTGGGATTGTTGAAGCATCAATTTTTCAAACCGTTCAAAGAAATTTTGAAGAGTTTTGTGTACATCAACCTGAATTACGCTATCACTGGGAGTGGGAGAATGATTTGAAGAAGCAGCTTGAGCATATGTCAGTTCATGTGACCTTGGCTGAGACGGTGACTGAGATGACTGGTGGGGACCCTTACTGGAAGGCAAATTGTTTGCATTCATGTTTTCATTTGATGAAGACTTTTGTGATTTATTTCTCAAAGGAGGGAAAGTTTTGTTTTTAAGATCTCTGTAAACATTGCAGCCTTTATAGTTGGCAGGATGGTTGCCATTACAAAGAGCACATAAAGGAGGTGTATCTCGGGATTTGGTACACGATTTGGTATCATGTTGTTGTCCACATTTGACACATCGAGGTTTGTACCAGCAATACGACTTGGTGTGGCCGTAAGATTGACAGTTCTTACACTGAACTATATCAGAACGTTTAAGTGGGGGTTCAAAGGTAATCTTAGCATTCAACAGATATTCCATGTTGAAAATAGATTTGTTGTCTTCCTTGGGCTCAAGATCAATGAAAAACATGGACAAAGGAGTTTTTGTTTTGAAGTTCCTTGCATTTGTTACGTTTCTCACTTTGAATCCTAGATCTTCAATAGCTACTTTAATATCTCCGGTGTCAGTTGAGTAGTGCATGTTTTTCAGAACTACACGGTAAGCTTTGTCTTGCTTCACCTGATACGTGTGGAAGTTTATTTCTAGAGCTTTAAGTCTATGTACTAATGCACGGTAAGCATCTACTGACATGGGATTGATCTTAACTTTGTTGTGACTAAGACAGCGGTAGGTGTAGCTATCATTCGGAATTACTGTTTCAATTGATGACACCATACTTTTAATATTTACAACATCAGAGATAAATATAGGGGGAGGTTTAGGTTGACGAGGAGGGGGCGAATTAGTTGTGTCATCGTCCATCTGATCACTTGTACTAAGGGGCTCAAAAACATTGCTGGTTTGACAGGTAAAACCACCAGAATTTTGACGTGATTTTTTAGAGTCTTGTTCAGAAGAGGATTTTGATCCTCGTTTTTGGGAAGTAGGGACAGTTTGCCATCCACTAACATCATCATGTTGTAAAATAGATTCGTCAGTACTAGGAGCAACATTATTATTAAATTTGCAGTAGTCATGGTCAACAACAACTTTTTGACTCATATTAGCTTCAGTATAAGACAGCTGATTTGTTTTGGATGGATCCATGTCCAATGTAAACAAAAGAAAGTAAACAAACAAATTTAGAAGAAGGTTAAACGAAAAGAAAAACGTTTTTAACACATATTTCCTCCAAAATATTGATAATTATTAAACACACAACTTAATAATGATTAATAACTTATATTGTTACCCTTTAGCAACGTAACTTGTCCAAAGTTTGAATCCTTCACATAAAATAAGGCTCAGCACTAAAACACGTGTATTCAACACAAAATCAAAACAAACTCTAACTTAACCAATCAATAAGTTTTTTTATTAAGTTTCCCAGAGGCCAAAAACCCTCCTTTCAAAACTATACAGGGTGATTGGTACTCAGTGTGACAAAAAGTTTTTGGTGTAAGTACAAAGTAAATGCAGTATGATGCATATAAAAGGTTCCAAGACTAAAAATTAGCTGCCCAATGAATTATTTTATGTTTTTAAAAAATAACTATGTTCTTAAACTTAATACAGCTACTTCTCAATGACCTGTAAATGGATTTGAGTAGATAATGTCATTTTCGTGATCTACATTAAATTTTGAATAAGAATAATAGAAAATGACGGGGGATCTGTTGTAAAAACTCCATTGTTAATTGATTCAAAGATAAACATTAAGATGTTTGATAAAAATTTAAAAAAACATTAATTGGTCTATTGCATTTGTTTACACCCTGTATACAAGAAAGTGTCCGAATATCGTAAAAACTGTGCCATTTTATAAGCTTTCCAACCATATGTTACACCCTTGAGCTTTATGTCTGCTTATGTACACTTTAGTGGTTTGAAGACTACAAAACATGGTGTCTTTATCATTTAAAACATAGAAAGTCGGCATTATTAAGCAAAAGTTGTATTTTTGTTTCAGCTTGAACAGTAAAAACAGTAAAAAAGTTCCCTGTTTTCTGGTATTCAAACCACTAAAACAAACAAAAGAATATCTAAACCTCAATAGTGTAGCATGGTTGGAAAGCTTATAAAATGGCGCAGTTTTTAACAAATTCGGACAATATCTTGTATACAGGGTGTGAAAAAATACGATAGACCAATGTTTTTAAATTTTTATCAAACATCTTAATTATTATCTTTGAATCTATTTACAATGGAGTTTTTACAACAGATCCCCCGTCATTTTGTATTATTCTTATTCAAAATTTAATTTAGATCACGAAAATGACATTATCAACTCAAATCCATTACAGGTAATTGAGAAATATCTGTATTAAGTTTAAGAACATAGTTATTTTTGGAAAAACATAAAATAATTCATTGGGCAGCTAATTTTTAGACTTGGAACCTTTTATATGCATCATCACACTGCATTTACTTTGCAATTACACCACAAAATTTTTGTCACACTGAGTACCAATCACCCTGTAAATATAAAATAAAATGATTTCAGGGTACTTTGATATATTAATTTACTTATTATCAACATTTAAAGTAGCCCTTATTGGTGTAAATTCAAACAATATATATATATATACATATGAGTGTGCCAAAAACTATCCGATTTCCATTAAATTTGGTACAAACGTGTATTAAACCTACGTTTACTCGAATGATTTGAGGACTCGTGGAATTAATAACTCTTTCCAGCACGGAAAATACATAGGTGTCAGGTGACCCCAACCTGCACGGATTTTTTTTTTTTTAATGTTTGTAAATACTTTATAATTTGTGTTTAGAACCATGCTAAGTTTATAAGGTTATATAAAAATGCATCAACAATTTGTTTTAGCGAATTTCCCATATAGGGAATAAGCTATTACCGTAGTACTCATGGTAAGACTTGGACGCGGGACCGATTTTTTTTTCGTTTTGAGGTCCCTAGAGGCCAAAAACACCATCCGTTCAAATTCATATATATATATATATATATATATATTTATATATTTATACATATATATATATATATATATGTGTCCGTCAGCACGATAACTCGAGCAAAAATGATCCGATTTTGATGAAATTTGGTACAAACGTGTAAACGTACGTTTATTCGAACGAGTTCGCGATCCAGCATGATCGGACCATGGGAACGGGGGTTTACGGGGGGTTTTATGGGATAAAAATAGGTTTTTCCCATTTTTGACCCAAAAAACATCAAATTTAGCAATTTCTTTCCAAACCATTTTGTAGAGCTTAAAAAACAAATAACTCAGTATATTGAAGCGTTATTATGCGCCTAATTGTTACGGAGAAAATTCCAAAAAATATTAAATTTAAAATTCCCATGTTATTCTTATGGAGAATAAGTCAACTGTTGTAGTTTGCTTGTTTGTGAACATATTTTGATCAAATTTGGAAAATGTTTTTATTTCTTACGAAACTATTCACGTAAAAAAAAACAGTTTTACCCTCCCTGATGCAGCAAACCTAAGTACTTGTTAAACTAATTCTATTTAAATCAAGAATAAATGTTATATTTTTAAGTAGACATTTCAGTGTAAATCCAATCAGTCAAATGGAAATTCGCTTAGTCTGCAGGTTTGCTGCGGCGGGGGTATTTTGTTATCAGTTAGTGATAAAAGGGAGTTACACATATGTAACACCGTGCAGCAAATGGAACATATTTTATTAAATCCCCTAAACATTAAAAATCAAGTTAGAGGGTTTTTTAGGGTATATCATAAATACAAATGCAAATTACAATATAAGAAAGTATATATTTTACACATATTCAATAGGCTATAAAGCATTACAACATCATATGGAGACCTGAATAAATGTAGTAAAAGAAAATTCACACACTGATAAATTTAGAAAAAATTATAAAATGTAAAAGTTACTTAGCCAAAACAAAGTATATGAAGGCCAATTTATATTTAAGTAATATAAACATAAATTTAAAGGCGGGTTTCAATAAAAAAATGTTCCAATATGCTAAAACTTTATCCTAAATTGTAATGACATAAGAAAAAACAATCAATATCGAGCCAAAAATATGACAAAACCTATTTATAATGTCATATTATTTATAAAAATGCATAAACGCAATTAAAATTAGGTTTGTGGAGGATTTTATAGTTAATTTATTATTTTTGGATAGATATATTTGGAACGCTGAGCTGCATGGTGTTACATTTGAGTAACGCACTTTGAAAAATCAAAATACGTTCTAGTTTACTGATTTTATGACTCTAAACTATTACAAGGGACGCTATTATAATAGTACATTACAAAACAGCATAGGAATCATATAATCAATAACAACATATCTTTCATTTGCATAAAAATAAAGACGGGATCTTGGGCACGAGTCTTTCACCAGGAACAGCTGTTTTCTAGGAGTTATTTGTAAGAGTGTAAACAAATGGATGGTGCTGCCACCTAGCAAAGGTCCATAGTACTAACATTTAAAGTTTCCAGATGCATAGCGCTAGTAGTATTGTTTACAAAAAATAAAATGTCTCGCGTTACAAAGATGTAACACCGTGCAGCAAAAAAGTCAAAAAGTCCGTTACATAAATGTAACACTGTGCTTGAAAGAGTTAATGGGAAATGCTATTCTCTGAATGAGAAACAGTTGATTTATTGTAAGAAATGTAAGTAAGTAACTATTAAATATTTTGATACTTTATTCAAAGAGATTTGAGACAAAACCTACTGTATTTCACCCAGTGATACTCTGTCTAACAAAGTAATTTTTTGGAAGGTTTAGATTTAAGTTGGTAATCTTTTGTTGTTGTTTTTTTTTCAGAATGTTTAGATTATTCATTATTAGCAAAACAAGATCGAAACTCACCTTTGTGCCATATTCAAGATGACAAGAGCTCTGGAGTTAAGATAGAACCTAATGAATTTCCAGGAAGTGTAAGAAGCAACACAACTAATAATTTTGTCTATAATCTGTTCACAAAATTTAGTCGGTTTAAGGGCAAAGTTTTCCAGGTTCCCCCACTAGCTTTATATATATCATTGACTGTATAGTCAATGTATATATATATCAGGTGTCAGCTGTTGTTTCAAAGCTATATGGTGAGGTGGAGAGGGTGGAATCGCTTCCCCTCAAACCACCTAAAATTTGTGAACGGAGTGTATATAGTAATATAATTAAAGTCGGGACCACAAGTTTGCAGTTGAGGGAGGAGCCTATTTACCATGTGGTTTTGAATGAACCAATGAGAACGGAGCGGTGTTGCCAAATCTAATAATACCAGCTGATTTGAAAATATTGCTTTGTATATATTAATTAGTTTTGTCAATGGGCGATGTGGCAACGTCGCACTAGCCTCGTCTTGTGATTGGCTGCCCCCAACTGCAAACTTACGTGGTCCCGACAATAGTACCTAATTGATCTAAACACAATTCAATAATTCAATCATGTACAATACATTAACATATACTGGAATTTTAGTCAGAGAAATATAGGATATAACTAACGTGGCCATACGTCCCGCTTTACAGCAAGTTGTCCCGCTGTCCCCACAATCGGCCGGGGGACGCCTAAATGTCCCGCTTTGGAGATCAGGCGAAATATTATATGGAATATGAAATTTCGCCTTTCCACAGTAATGTTATAGTTCGTGTAAGAATACTACTTAGTAATTTTAAGGAAAACTAAAGGAAACCAACTTATTAACCTATTTGGTTAACTGTACAATTAGCACGTCATTGTTCATGGATCCTCGATCGCGTGAACTCAACTATCTATCTATACTATACATAGACAAAAATATCAACGATCGGCACTAGTACAATTTATTTCCACGCAAGTGTTGAAGCGCTGTAGGCTACTACGGCCTCAAAAGACGCAGGTTGTCACTGTTGTCAGTAAACTAAACTGTCAAGTTGTTTACAGTACCTTAACCTCTATCTTTTAGATAACATTCGGTGCGAAGAAAGTTTGCTTGTGATTTGATTATTATTGTACTGTCAATTGTGCATTAGATAATGCCCAAACGGAAATGCACATTTTTTAATAGTTAGTTACAAGCGAAATAGTATCCGTTTATTAAACTTAAGTTTGAGACGAACAAAAGTGATGTGACCCGCCATTTGTAAATTCGCGTCCTTCGCTCAGTTCCCGATGTTTACTTGCACTTGGTGAAGCTATCCACTTTTGAGGAGATTTCTAAGTAAAGATATGTTCCGTCCAATGAACTTACAAATAGGTTAAATATAATAAAAACTCAATTAAAAACCAATTTATATTTTTAAAATTATTATGTCTAGATTGCATAAAAACGCTAGTTTACAGCTAATATTTTTCAAAATTTTTCCCTTTTTTTAAATTTTAAGGACCCCCCAGACCCCGCGGAAGCGGGACCGCTTCGTACTCCAAAATATATGGTCACGTTAGATATAACCTTAAAAAAATTTCGACCATCGATGTTTATTGGGTGGTTAGTACTTCATTTCTATAGGGAACTCATTTGGCTGCCATCTTGGTTCCACCATATTTTATATAAATAAAAAAAATTAATGTAATGATAACGACACATCATTGTAAGCTAGATTTTCACGCTGATTTCAATGCCGAAATCCATTTTTTAATATCTGTTTATGTTTTTCAAGATATATTCAAACGAAAACTCTCCCCCATACATTTCTTATGGACGTTACGTACTTTCGTAGATTTTTAAGAGAATTTTTCTTATATCTCCAGTTCTTATCAACGCTTGCAGTTCAGTGTAACCTTTAAATATTCTGTGTTGTAAGGGCTTCCATTTGAGCTATTGATCATTCAAATCGAACGAGTTAGAGACAGGCTACAATCCCCAAAATAATATAAAAATTAACTTTTTTGAAATAATTTTTTATCAAAAGATTTTTATCTCGAGTTATTAATACGTCACAAAGTTCTTTGTGGTCTCAAATTACTAATTTAATTTTTTGTTTTAATTTTATTAAATATTTAATAATCTGAAAAAATTTTAATGAGCCTTGTACCTTCAATTAACATAAACTTATTTTTATTTTTAAATTTGTCTTTAGTTAAATACAAATATCCCCAATTAACTCCCAAAACTCTTTATGGTCTTAAATAATTTGTCAAACTATTAACTTTTATTTTAGATAAAGATTACTTATAGATTGTTATTTACAATTGGATATATATGTCTTAAACCAAAGACAAATTTCTAAGCAAAAATAATTTAATGTTAAATGAAGGTTCACGACTCACTTTAGATTTGTCAGATTTTATATAGTGATGAATACAATTAAAGCCAAACATTAAATTAGTAATTTGAGACCACAAAGAACTTGGTGACGTATTAATAACTCGAGATATAAATCTTTTAATAAAAGAATATTTCTAAAAAGTTAAATTTAATATTTTCTTTTGGGGGTTGTAGCCTAGGAGGATTAAACATTAAGGAGAGGACACGCTGTAGTTCGTTGAAGCCAGCGTACTGGGGAGGGGGGGAGGCAGCGCTACTCTCCCGCCACCCTCTCATACTGTGTGTTATGCGTTACTGGAAGATTTGGTAACAGAAATATCAATTGTCTATTTAAAAATTAGACTTCATCATGCTACGAAAATTAAAAAGTTAAATTCTAACCGTAAAATTAGGAACCTATTAAGAGGAAAGTCATATTTATTTACCAATAGTACGTTCAAAGGTGAGTAATTTACACAAGGACGACTTGTATTTTAGAATTCGTTGTCCTTGTTTTATTTTTTTCCATGCTTGTATTGTGTATTATTTATAATACTCTAACCAGAGTGCGGGACTCCGTTTATGGGGTCCCGGGTTCAAATCCCGCCATATCACCAATAGATTTTACTGTTCATAAATTGAAACTCAAATCATGAGTAGTACTGTATGTGTATTTGAACATTTTCTTAAAGAGAAATAAAATAAGTTTTAATCCTTTAAAAGAATGATAACTTTGGCGTCAGAAGACGCGACGATTATTGAACATTTACACTTTTTACTGGAAGTTTCTTTAGGCAAACAGATCAAATATAGTTCAATATGATACTAAAAAAATCAAGAATTTGATTGCCAAGAAATTGTTTTACTTTTTTTGATTGTAATTTAATTGTAACGGCTGTTGGTGTAAAAAAAAGTTAGAGCGGCTTTGCAATTTTTCTTAACTTTGGCTATTTAAAATCACCTGCCTAGCACATAAATGACTTAAAACTAGTAAAATATGATATTAACAAATCGAGAAAACTATGAAAAATGCAAATTTAAAATGTATTTCACCACCCGAATTAAAATTTTCATTTTAACCTATTATTAGTAAGATTGTTTTATAAACTGGAAAAATTAAAATAAAACTTTATTTCAATTATTTTTCTAAATACCACTTTTAAATATAGGTAAACTAGCTGTAACCAGCGGGCTTTGCCCCGTTTAACTTCTTAATTTTCAAGATTATCTCGTTCGCATGGCTCAATCACGTCCTGGTTGAAGTTTGTTCGCTACGCTCACTCACTTTTGGGTCGGAGCTCGTTCGCTACGCTCACTCACCTTTAGGTTGGAGCCCGTTCGCTGCGCTCACTTGCCTTCAGGTTAGCTCGTTCGCTACGCTAACTCGCCTCCAGGTTGAAGTTCGTTTGCTACGCTCACTCACCTTTTGGTTACAAATTAGCTGTTGTCATAAATGTAAAAGAAATAATAGTGCTGCACCCTGTTGGTAATCCTTGTAACTTTAATGCTATTGAACATCATAGAACAGAACCAACTTGTTTAATTGAAACAGCTGTTAAGATTCAATAATTCCATTTCTCATAAGGTTAACATGGGAAACTCCAGAGCCACTGGGGCGGAGCCCGAAAGGATTTTTGAAATAAGAATATGCCTATATGTTAATCGGGAATGTGAGCTACCATCATGCCAAATTTCAGCCCAATCCGACCAGTATTTTTCGCGTTCACTTGTCACAAACATACATCCATACATCCATCCATACATCCATACATCCAAACTTTCTCATTTATAATATTAGTAGGATATATATTTTTTATTTCGAGAAACTCTTAAGGAACACGATTAAATTGTTAATTTGTGTAGATACATCATATTTTATTCAAAAACGTAATTATAGTAATCATATGTTCAAAGTCCAGGTCAATTCGTTCAACTTTGATCTTCAATAATAAATAATAAATAATAGTTTTTATAGGAATGATTGACACCGTTCGATAGGAAATTTAATTTACTTTAAGGATGCCATCGGAGAATAACACAGGTGTTTTAGTTTAGCGGCAATTTTAATTTGAAACAGCGCGCGTCGCGTTTTTCCCTATCTCTCCCATGTTGTAGCCGAGGCTTTTTGCCACTCTACGGCTCCTCATGCCCCTCTAGTGTTCTGCTAAAGCTGGCTTCACCGCAACACGTGTATTCCTATTCGCGTGCCCTCTCCTTAATGTTTAATCCTCCTAGGTTGTAGCTCGTCGCTTGCTCGTTCGATTTGAATGATCAATAGGTCAAATGAAATCCTTTAATTCACAGAATATTTAAAGGTAGACTGAACTGCAAGCGTGGATATGAACTGGAGATACAAGAAAAATTATCTTAAAAATCTACGAAAGTACGAAACGTCCATAAGAAATGTATGGGGGAGAGTTTTTGTTTGAATATATCTTGAAAACATAAACAGATATTTAAAAACGGATTTCAGCATTGAAATCAAGCTTGAAAATCTAGTTTGTAATGACATGTCACAACGTTATCATTACATTTGTTTTTTAAAATTTATATCCAATATGGCGGATCCAAGATGGCGGCCAAAAATGAGTTCCCTATCGAAATGAAGTACTAACCACCCAATAAACATCGGTGGTCGTCCCAAGTCAATATCTAAAAAAAAATTTAATACAAATTTGGTATCTTTTTTTCAAATTTGTCCAATGGTGG